GTTGCTAATACACCCTTTTGCAACGTTCAAAATCCGTTGCTGTTAATTTTCATTTTGCAACGTGCAATGGACGTTGTTGTTAATGTTTTAGCAACGCGCATTGCGCGTTGCTGTTAATTGCTTTTAGCAACAGGCAATGCGCGTTGCCATTGAATGTTTTAGCAACGCGCATTGAACGTTGTCATTAACCTTTTTCGCAACTTTCATTGCACGTTGTCGTTAATTCTTTTTAGTAACGCGCTTTTGAAAGTTGTCATTAATCTTTTCACAAAGTTCATTGCATCTTGTCGTTAATTGTTATAGAGATTTGGGTATAACCCGTTCAATTCCACCCAACTAACCCAAATAAAAAACCTAATCACACAATACCCATCCCCATCCGTGCCGTCTCGTCCCCTTTTTCTTCAACACACAGGTGAAGAAGAAGAAGAAGGATCCAGTGGTCGACGTTGCGGAGGAAGAGCTCGAGCACGAAATGGAGGATCTCAAGGCCAAGGTCAATTCTAGGTACCTAACCCATGGCCATAGGCTATAACCGCCACAGCTACAACTTGAGCTGGAGCCGGAGCCTCCGCTGGAACACAAGCATTATCCTCAACCTGTGCCAATGTTATTCAACTCAAAAACAAACACATTTTTATATATTTTTTTGTTTATGTATTGTATTTTCGATTTTTTGGTCTGACTGTTGTAGAAGCCGGAGCTATTGAGGGTAGATGCGAAGAGAATTCGGAGGCAGATGTAGGAGGAAGTTGTGGAGAATTATCGTGCGTTCATTGCAGCAGCCGATGCGTTGCTCGAGATCCGAGAGCCTCTATAGATAAACATCTTGAATCTCTAGTAGATTTTTTTTGTTTCCTTTTTTTAATTTCAGTTTGTGATTATATCTTATGATTTATACAATTTAAACTATGATTGTAATGTGAGATAATTATCGATATTGAGTTGCAATATGATTGAAATAAAATGCAAGCTATGAGTGAAGTGAAGATGTGGAATAAGATCTTGTGTGAAGGGGATGGGTTTATCCTCAATAAAACGAATTATTGTTTCTTGTTTTAATTTAATTTGAGCTAATTGTGAGGGAAAATGGTAGTTCGTGTTGAAATAATGCTATTTATGTGTTATATTCTGAGCAGTAGTAATTAACCAATTGAAGGAGATGTTCGAAAACGGGAGGATGCGAAAAGAGTAGTGGAAGCAACTGTCAAGCGTTTTTGGGGGGATTTACAATGAGTCATGAAGCACTCAAGTATCTTAAGAAAGTTGGACCTTGAAGGGACTCATCTAGTGGAGGATTTATATTGAACATCATGCCACTTTGCATTACACGGCATCTTGGTATCAAATCCATGTATCTGCAGCCAAGGTTTGTGGGTTTGTTCTTGCTATAAAGAGAGTTTGACTTGCTTAAGAATGTCCAGGAGACATTTGTGCATAATATTTATCTTCTGTTGCCCTGTGCAATGGCTATCATTGCCTAATTAGACTATGTTGCTGGTTTAGAATAAGGAGATTATTCTATTGAGGAAAATGGATTATTGTAATAATTTATATGTTCTAAATAATCATGATACATAGAAGACTTCTTTGCAATCGCTTCCTTCACAGGGAAAGGAAATTCAACATTGAAGTGGATGAATTAGAGGGGAAGTACAATGACTGGCAAAAAAAGCTGCATCCTGATCTAGTTCATTCTAAATCCCAGGTTATGATGAATATTCCAAAAGAAATTTGGTGTCTTGGTGGAAATGTGATTAAGTATCCTTGTTTTTGTATATGGATGTTTTTTAATAGATATTGTGAATGAATTCTGCCCTGGCATGATGAATGACAAAACTTAAACTGCCTCCATTATCTATTATCACCTGGCCAATCACTTTATGTTTTGATTGCCAGTCTCTCCCTTTGCCTTATATATGGCATTGTGTTGCAAAAATTTATTTGCAAAAAGTTATTTGCAACGTTCAATGCGTGTTGCTAAAAGGTTTTTAGCAACGTTCATTGACTATTGCTAAAAGGTTATTCGCAACACGCATTGAACGTTGCGAAAAAACTTTTAGCAACACGCATTGAATGTTGCAAATAACTTTTTAGCAACACGCAACGAACGTTGCAAAAAACTTTTTAGCAACACGCAATGAACGTTGCAAAAACTTTCCACTCTACGACAACATCAAAACCCGCAACATACGCCTGAACGCTGCAAAAGGTCAATGGCAACGTTTTTCGACCGTTGCAAAATGCAATTTTTGGTGTAGTGAAAGTATATATGTGTTGATTATGATTGGTTGTGATTGTATGTGACCAAATTAATAGTGACTTGATCACATACTATCACAATTAAGATTGACTTAGTCAAAGATAGTCACAATAAAGATAAACTTGATCACAAATAACAAAGGTCCGATCACAAATAATAACTGCTCATACAGTCTAGGTCACAAACAATAATATCTTACATAGATTTAATCAGAAATAGTTGTTAAACACAATTTGGTCAAAGCAGTGGAAGTACAAATAATGAGGTATGATCAAGTAAAATTGATGTGAACAATGGTGTTTCTAGGCATAATGAGTCCAAAAATGAAATGGAGTTTTTGTGGGTATATAATATGAGAAATGGGATTCAGGTACCAGTGAAACAATTAGTAATTATTTGAATATAGGGGTTATGCCTATGGAAAATATTAAAAATGGAGGGAATTTGAGGGAAAGTGAGTTCAATAATCAGGGCGTGTTCTGTAGAGATTAAAATTTGATTAAAATTGAAAAATTAGTCGTTATTGTTGACTTTTATTAGACGAGTGAGACCTAATAATGGCTATATTTTCAATTTTAATTGAATTTTAAGCACAACTGAACACGCCCTCAATATCAAACTATGCCGTATAAGAATTGATGGTGGTGGTGGCCGATGTGGTGGTCAACAACAACTGATTTTTTAGTTTTTATTTATAGAGAGAGAAATTTTATACTTTGAGAGAGTGTTTTGTGGTAGAGAGAGATAGTTGTATATATTATTAAATTTTTAAAACTATTTTGTAAGATTGTTAGTTATGAAATGTGATTCTTCTAATCTATTAGTTATGTATTTTTTGTCAAATTTTTTATTGGTTTGTTTGTAATTTATGGTATTTCTTGTACTTAATTTTATTGCATTGAATCAATGAAAAATTGAAACGTGTTTGGGTGTATATTTTTTGATATGTAGTGAGAAAATTTTGTTGTATGAGAAGGTATGATTCCAATTTAGAGAGGTGGGGGAGTCTAATAGAAGAGTCCAAACAGTTTTGAAGTTTTTGGATGTACTCGGTAATATTAATGCAAAGCTTTGTACTCTTAGGGGTTCAAGCGTGCTCTGTGTTGTATGGTTCAATCCTTCCATCGTTCTATGAAGCAAAAAAGGTATGTTTGGTCAAACTGAAATGAATAATTTGTTGGAATTGGTTAAGTATAAAATCATGGAAAAGTGACTTTCGTATCACTTCGACCAAATATTCTGATTTGATCCAATAGTCAAATTATAGAAATAAATTGACTAACTTGTTCTACTCGTCGAGTAGAGCGTTGTAGTATATTTGAAATATAAAAACCAATTTCGGATGAATGAGTAATTACGGTCCAAAGTTGGAATGGAAAGAGAGGAAAATTGTCTAACTCCGTCGCTCGCATAGCTCACGAGCGGTGAGGCGATCACTTGAGCAACATGCTCTCTATTTTTGATGCTCGAGTTACGCAAAGGTGACAGGCGAGTAACAACAAAAGCTGTGACAAGGACCCTTGACAAATGTTACTGAGTTTTGAGGCATGTATTTTCACTTACAACCTCACATCCTCTATAAATAAGACCATTTGGACGTCCATTACTTTACCTCCAATGATATGCAATCATAGCATAACATAAAATTTCATCTTTTCTTAGCAAAAACTCTGCATAAAAATTGTTTTCCCATTTCATTCAAATGGAGTACATAAACATATCTTTAGGTTCATAGTTCTTATGCTTTGGAGTGCTACAAACACAAGAAGATAGTTATTGTATCTTGAGAGTTGATTGTCATTGTTCGTAGATACCGTTGCGGGGTAAATTCGACTTAAGGACAAAGAGTTTAACTGTTGCCTCGACTTTACTTGTACTTTCGTGGTGTTACTTTGTCCATTTTCATCGGCATTCTAATATCTTTTGTGATTTATTCTTCAATTTCTTGTCGTTAATCTGTCTAAATTTGGTAAAGTTGGTAAGTTTTTTTTAAAGTCATCACTTAAATCCATTTTTATCAAAAATCTTAAGTCAAATTTTGAGTGATAACTTTATATTTGATTTCTATTCGGTTAAACTAATTTCGTTTAGGTTTAAATTCTTCTACCCCTTTATTGGATCATGATTTTGTTGGTTTATCTTCTATTTTGTGTAAATAGAAATAAATACGGTTAACAATACCGATACTTCTTCTAATGATATATCAAGTATGGGAACTTCGGAAGGAGTTGTACTTAACTTGGTTCCTACCATTGTGATTCTTCCGGTTGCCTCTCCGACCGTTCATACTAATTTCATTCCATATGTAAAGAAATTGGAGAAGTTCAGTGGGATTGATTTCAAGAGATAGCAACAAAAAAATGTTGTTCTATCTCACAACCTTAAACTTGACAAAATTTTTGAAGGAAGATGCTCCCATGATGGAAGAAGAGGAAAATAATTGGGCATTATTGATAGCATTGGATGTTGGAAATATTCAGACTTTTTATGCAAAAACTACATACTAAATGAGTTAAACAACACATTGTACAATGTGTATAGTTCCATGGAATCTGTAAAGGAACTATGGGAATCCTTGAAGAAGAAATACAAGATTGAAGACGCTGGAACTAAAAAGTTTATCTTGGAAAAATTCTTGGACTACAAAATGGTAGATTCAAAGATTGTCATCAATCAAGTATAAGAATTGCAAGTAATTTTCCATGACATTCACGCAGAGAACGTGTAAGTAAATCATTTCAATTGGCTGCAATTACTAAGAAACTTCCACTCATGTGGAAGGATTTCAAGAATTATCTCAAGTATAAGTACAATGAGATGAATATTGAAGAACCCATCGTCCGGTTGAGAATTGAAGAAGATAAAAAAAATTTAGACAAGCGTGTTGGGAGTCATATATCACAAGCTAAAATTAATGGGGGTGGAATCAAATAACAAGAACATGAAGAAAGCATTATGTCGAACCCTCCAAGAAGAATGTAAAGACGTTCAAAAGAAGTTGCTATAATTGTGGAAAGGCCGGACATCACTCTGTTGACTGTCACAAACCTAAGAAGCAAACCCAAGCAAATATCACCGAATTTGATGTAATATATGATAGTATATTAGATATAAACTTGTCGATCGTTATTTCAGAATGCAACAATGTTGGAAATTCCATGGAATTGTAGGTAGATACAGGTGCTACTCTTCATATTTGTGCCGACAAATGTATGTTCTCATCCTACACCCCCAACCGATGGTAAGAATCTGTTCATGAGAAACTCTTCAAGTTCAAAATTGGAAAGACATGGCAAAGTAATTCTGAAGATGACATCAGGCAATGAACTTAGCCTTAACAACATTCTTCATGTACCGAATATTCGCAAGAACTTAATGTCGGGTTCTTTGTTCAGAATAATTGTTTAAATTAGTTTTTGTATCTGATAAGTTTATATTTACTAAGAT